AAGTATGTGGACACCTAAAATTTTTCCTTCTCTGAGAAACTGTTGACTTCTGCACCATGAGATCGCCACCATTCGATTTCTCGGATACGGAAAACCTTAGATTTTCTCATTGCTCACCATTTTACATGCAGCTTTATTTTTTTAATTAATGGAAAAACTTTCCCCTGCTTCCCTGTATCAAAAGTATGTGGACACTTTTCGAAAAACAGAAATATCTTCAGAATCAAAGACTGGTAGGCCTACCAAAGATTCTGATAAGTTCAAACATTTTGTTCGGCATGTTCTGAACCAGGCTCCCGATACCTGTTTCGTCGAACTCTTCCCAAGCAGCTAATTTCAGCAACTTGTTAGGTCACTTGGGGAACTACTTTTTCTTCAATGGCGCAGAAACAGTGAACCACTATCCCCTACGTTTTCAATAACGATGTGGTCTGAGGAATACGCCAGCCAATCCAGCACCCGGAACCCTCGCGTTTGCCTCTTCCCAAATGGAATACGTGTAGGGGACCCCTCTTGGGCTTGCTGCAAAACAAATGTTTGGTGACGCTGGCTTCTCGAAAAGGATATAAGTCGGGATCTCATTACCTCGTTATAATTCTAACCAGTTTTGCTCCGCCCGCTATCGCGCGCATCACACGGCAGGCTTTAGCGAAACTGGAGGACCCATGGAATATCAGCATGAGGTACTCCATTAACCACCTCACTATTGAATGTGTTAGACCTTTCCCAGTTTCGCTGAAGTCCATCGAGAATACGCGTGATAACGTCTGGAGCTGAACTGGCATATTTATCTCACAACTGTAAACATCCAGCATTCTTCTTGAATTCAGATAATTTAGCGGTGAATAGGATTGCTGTCAGTCTCAAAATGAAAATGAAATATGCCTATTTACATAAGTGAGGAGCTAAGGCTTATCATTTATTTACATTCACCATTATTTAGAACCCCGAAAGGATTAGCGGTTTAATGAGTTTGGGCTTTCTTGATAGAAATGAAACTTATCATTTGCTGAAGACTTGATTGAGTTTATGCAATCGACTGCTATTAAGTAAGCTGGTCATACAATGATACAATGTGCACGTACCACTACAAATAGAATTTGTAAGTAGGGACGCTCTAGTGTCAGCGCAACGGAACGACGACTTTTGCGTTCTGACGCGCCTTATCAGCCCTTATCAGTTGTTATCACTTTCATCACCCACCAACAATGTCCCCGTCCCACCCCACATAACACTTGTAAGTATGGTTGCTCTGGTGTCAACGCGAGCCAGGTAACGGAATCGACGACTTTTGCGTTCTGACGCGCCTTATCAGCCTTATCAATTGTTATCACTTTCAATCACCCACCAACAATGTCCCCGTCCCACCCCACATAACACTTGTAAGTATGGTTGCTCTGGTGTCAACGCGAGCCAGGTAACGGAATCGACGACTTTTGCGTTCTGGCGCCCTTATCAGCCCTTATCAGTTGCTATCGCTTATAATTATACATGTACCACCAATGTCCTGGGACCGCCCCACATAACACTTGTAAGTATAGACGCTCTAGTACCAATATGAACGACAAAACGAAATTGGCGATGCTCGCTTTCTAGCCCCTCTTATCAGCTATTATCAGTCGTTATCAGTTCCTATCATATACCAGTTGAGTGCCTCCATTCCACCCCCTATAGGAATCGGATGTGAGAGAACGTTGCGCAGTACTACTCCACAATTGCAATGTGACACGACGGCACGGTACGGTAGAGGTTTCTTGACAAGATGACAGGGACGTAACACACACACATACGCCACGCCACAGACAGGTACTTGAGTAAAGGAAATAATAGTAGTTTGGAAATTCCTCATGATAGCGCATCTCAGACAAGACGATAAGCAAGTGTACTGGCAGAGTAAATGGAGGAAACGTGAGCGCTGTTTAATCGGGTGCACATCAGACCCACTTCTGGAATGGAATAGAGATGAGGAGGAACATGAAGGAGCTATGAGGAGCCATCTTACCATGATAGGAGATACGGAGATTGACAAGGGATGAGAGTGACGCGGGGACGCGCACGCGAGGGTTGCTCAGGTGGTCTTGATCAGAGGAGTGGTGCACCTCATGCAACAAGAATGAACACCTGAGCACGGATTAAGAAAACTGAACAGCTCGCTCTTAGCGTGGCATCACCTTCGAGCGCTCTAGCAGATTGAACGTACGGTATATCGCATATTTGCTTACAACAAATTCACTACACATTCATTTCTAAGAGCGCTATTAGCAATAAATCTGGCGGCGGCTCATTCACTATGGTGTGTGAACTACAGAGTCCCCTACGGCTCGTGGCACTAACGGGCCACACAGCAACGGAAAGGAACAGTGCTGACTGGTGGAATGAGAGGGATTTGGTTGACCGGCAACATGCTAAACAGACGGACCCTTATCAATTCTGTCAGCTGGTTGTAAAGGTTACGTCACCCCGCCAAAATATGTTTCCCGTCCAACCCCAACACACAACGAGCCATAGTGTGGACGGCCAAGGTACACCTCACATTGGGGACCGATGAAACGGCCAAAAAAAGGTGCCGACATCACATGCATATGAGACACGACGACGTGAGAATCTCCGCTGGACATTCCATACCTATACGTCTCAACCTTATCAGCCTGTGTATCAGTCCGTAGTCAGATATATAGGCCTCGCACGGGGCTACACTAGAGATGCCGTGCTGACCCACCGTCGCACACATGCAACACTTCTTGGACTAACGCCACACTATCCGCTGGGACGGCGGTTACCAATTGCGCAAATTTGCGTCTCCTGCGCCTCTAATCAGCACGCACTGCTCACTCGTCGTATCACATCATGTACCAACAGAACATAGTTCGGACGGCCACCGCTCTGTACATGCACTTGCGTTGAACCAAACGGCCTGCACCACTGCATGGACATCGGAACAAATAACGCACGACTGAATCGTGAATTTGCGTGGGAAAAATGAGACGGGGTTATGTCCGGCCTCGTTATCAGATCTATATCAAGCTCGACATCACTTATGAGAGACAGCGCAGCCAAATCATGTTTTGCCGTCCCAAAGATGTACGTCACTCGTTGCGAACCCAACGCTCGGCAACACTGCTGGAGCACGCACGGCATACTGAATTTCGTGAAATCGTTACGGAACAGTATGGTGGCGCCTGATCGGAATTCTTGATCAGTCGAACAGTCCAACCTCATAAACCCCACAAATGATAGGCTTTCCCAGTCACCACGCTGTTACGATACGAGCGTGTTCTGAAAACCAACAACGTCACACAGCTTGGGCACGCGGCTCCAATATGCCAATTGGCGTGAAATGTGGGAGGCGGGGAAGGGCAGCCCGGAAAAAACGGAGAAGTCAAGGGCAAAAAGCGTTTTTGAGACGACCCACTTCTTATTTCAAAAAGGTTCTTATCGTACGGACAATCACTCATAAACCCACAAATATGTGCATCCACGCTGTACGTCACATTCCTTGATTAAACACACCAAACGCCTCCACCACTGCTGGGACAGCGCTATGAATTTCGTTATTGGCGATATTGTCCGACCGCTCTGATCAACATTTAATACCGCCAAATCACTTTGAAACCCCACCAAATATGTTGCCGTCCCACCCCCTACACCTTATTCAAAATACAGCGTTCCATGCCTGCAGCGAAGCGCGCTATGAATTTCGTGACAGACGGACGTACGTACAGACGTACACACACACACACAGACAGACCCGCCCCCAAATAGCGAATAATTAGTAGGATTGTATACCTGACATGCTTGCAGGGCCAAGTGGCAATTTATCCGCTTCTGGGTTGAAACCACTCAGCAATTGGGAGCCTCTTCCGGAACGCCTCTTTGAAGTACAGCTGCTGATCACGACGAAGGTCCCTCCATTAGCAACGAGATCCACCCGAATAGCGAAAGATAAGCTTTTTCCCATCAGTCGAGGTTGTCTGTATTTTCCAAAGAGCGTCTCTCATTCTTATCTTATGGTTTTCACAAACGCGCTGTCTGTCCGTTTCAACGTTCCATGCGGTGATCTTGTTTTTGAACGGGAATTCAACCTTGCCAAACTGTGCTGCGCATCCATACACGAAGCTTTCTTCGTACTCTCCCGTGTCCTCATTATGCTCAACCCAAACTGGATGAACACGTCATGGGTATGCGGGAATGCATATAGCAGATCAAAGGAATTTTGAGACATTACAGGCTATTCTTGTGTTGTTTTGAACAAGGTAACGATTGGAGTCGACCCTCACTTAGTGTTGAGAGCTTAGCATCAGAATTCTGGATCTCTTTCCCAACAAACGAGGAAGCACGACCGGCTTGAAGTGCTATTTCGCAATTGGAAGGTCCAGCAACATGAGGACCTCACATCTCTGCTTGGTCTTCTTTAGAAAAATGCTTGTTGTGAATAGGAATAATGCCTGAACAAGTGACGAAAGAAACAGTAAGCATAGATTAGAAAATTAGTGCAGAATGTTGATCTGCCTCAGGGTGTCTACATACGATTACGCGGCGAGGCGTTCTTCCATTTTTGAATTGATACCCTGGCGCTTCGCGCGCAGTCCAAGGGAGGTCATCCGGGTGCCGCTCCATCCTACGCCAGGCCAATTCGAGCATGTCGCAGCCAGTCCTCACCTCCTACAATGAAGCCGGAACGATCAATATTCTGCACTCTGCCAAAATTACGCAAGATACCCATTTTGGAGTTCTGAAGGTTCAGCGTGGGACGAGCAGAGAAATGGTCAATGCCATTCGATTCAGCGTGCAAACAAACCTACAGGGGTGAATCATTATCGAATTTCATTCATTTTCAAAAGCGTGGGGTCGAAAAAACGAAAAAAAGGCCGTTGCAAAACTATACGACATAGCTACTGATTCTCAACACTCCTCAACTATATCCAGATTGGAAACGAGAAATATTACCGTTTCATGTTGCATACATATACCATATATGTTTCTACTCCACATGGAGCAAAATGCCACGCAACAATCGCCTTTCTATGGACGAGCAGGCTGAAATCGACGTCATGCGCGACCTGGGATGGAGTGTTCGCCGGATGAGCCAGCGGATCGACCGCTCTCGAGACTGCATTGCACGGTATTTGCGGAATCCACTCGCGTATAATACGAAAACTTTAACCGGAAGACCGAAGAAGCTGAGCGAACGTGATCGCCGTTCAATTCTTCGATTGGCGTCGAACAGCACGAAGACGGCTAGCGAAATCAGGGAAGAATTGGGGCTCCAAGTGAGCAAAGACACGGTCATACGTGTGATTAATGACTCGTCATACATAGTCCGTGAGAAAATGAAGAGTGCTCCCCGACTTACGAAGGAACACAAGGAGGCTCGTCTTTGCTTTGCAAGAATCAACATGCAGACAAATTGGAAGACGGTAGTACTAATTATTACGTGCTCTGCTGATCTTCGTCGTCGTTTTGGACGACCATGAGTGGTACTTGCTGTTGCAGATCATTTTTTCCGACGAAAAAAAGTTCAATTTGGATGGGCCGGACGGATGGCACTCGTATTGGAGAGATCTGCGCAAAAATCCAATCACCTTCTCTAAGCGGAACTTTGGCGGTGGAAGCGTGATGTGCTGGGCGGCTTTTAGCTGGTGTGGCAAGCTGGATATAGTCTTCACGACTTGCCGAATGAATTCCAGTGATTACCAGGACGTGCTCAAAAACCACCTTCTACCATTTATGAGAAGAAATCGCCGCCATCGTCTCATTTTTCAGCAAGACAACGCTGCCATACACGTTAGCAGATCAACTCTGGATTGGTTCGAGGCTCATCACATCGATTTACTGGATTGGCCTGCATGTTCCCCCGATCTGAATCCGATGGAAAATCTGTGGGGCATCCTCGCGCGTCGAATCTACGCTCGGGGAAAACAGTACGAGACAGTGGCTCTCTTACAAAAGGCGATACTCGAGGAATGGGCACTGATACAGAAGGAGGTTCTGAAGAAGTTGATTGAGAGCATGCCAAATCGGCTGTTCGACGTGATAGCACATCATGGCGGACCTGTTGACTATTGACCTATCACATACTGCTATATGGTTTACAATTGTTGTGGAAACGTGTACTGAAATAAATAATAACCAGTTTTGCTCCGCCCGCTATCGCGCGCATCACACGGCAGGCTTTAGCGAAACTGGAGGACCCATGGAATATCAGCATGAGATACTCCATTAACCACCTCACTATTGAATGTGTTAGACCTTTCCCAGTTTCGCTGAAGTCCATCGAGAATACGCGTGATAACGTCTGGAGCTGAACTGGCATATTTATCTCACAACTGTAAACATCCAGCATTCTTCTTGAATTCAGATAATTTAGCGGTGAATAGGATTGCTGTCAGTCTCAAAATTAAAATGAATACAGTCGAGATCCGAAAGTTGGGGTAGGCGTGTCACCGGAAGTGACGTGGACTTGATAGAAGTTGCGTAGATAAGTCGTTGCCAGCATGCTTTGCTGATATCTCGCGATATACTGGGTGCGGCAAAAGTTCTGGCAACGGTAAATATGCCCGTAAAAAACGGTCGAATCGATCGATACATGATACAACTTCAACAGCATTTATCAACAGCTATATAGATCACAAAAACAAACTAGATCTCGAAATAGCCTCCTTTTGCTCGAATACAGGCTGAAAGTCTCCTAGGAAACGCGTCGACGGCGGCACGGAGGTAGTCCTCGTCCAAATCCTCCCATGCTTTGACGAGGGTTGCACGTAGAGCATCCAAACTTCTATGCTGAGTAGAGCAGGCTTTTGTCTTAAGAACTGACCACACGGAGTAGTCCAATGGATTTAGGTCTGGACTGTTTGGGGGCCAATCGTTCGACGAGATGAAGTCTGGGAAGTGCGTTGCGCACCAGTCCTGTACCACCTTGGACCTGTGTGCTGGAGCTGAGTCCTGTTGATAAGTCCATGTCCGGTTGCCGAAATGGGATTTTGCCCAGGGGAGTACCTCCTTCTCCAACACGCCTTTTAAGTAGATCTTACTATCCACCTTGACCCCTTTCTCCAAGAAAATCAGGGGCATCTTGCCGTCCGATGTGATTGCCCCAAAAACCATCAACGACTTGGGGTGTCCAGATCGCTGAGCAATCCCTCCATGTTGGCTGGCTTCTGCAGGGCTTCCCGCTATTATCCTATCGTTTTGGGTGTTCAGGAATTGATCTGTTGAAAACATGCATGGGAGGATTTGGACGAGGACTACCTCCGTGCCGCCGTCGACGCGTTTCCTAGGAGACTTTCAGCCTGTATTCGAGCAAGAGGAGGCTATTTCGAGATCTAGTTTGTTTTTGTGATCTATATAGCTGTTGATAAATGCTGTTGAAGTTGTATCATGTATCGATCGATTCGACCGTTTTTTACGGGCATATTTACCGTTGCCAGAACTTTTGCCGCACCCAGTATATTGGAAGCACCTTATCCACATAGATTCTATCAAGTACACGTCACTTCCGGTGACACGCCTACCCCAACTTACGGATCTCGAGTATATGCCTATTTACATAAGTGAAGAGCTAAGGCTTATCATTTATTTACATTCACCATTATTTAGAACCCCGAAAGGATTAGCGGTTTAATGAGTTTGGGCTTTCTTGATAGAAATGAAAGTTATCATTTGCTGAAGACTTGATTGAGTTTATGCAATAGACTGCTATTAAGTAAGCTGGTCATACAATGATACAATGTGCACGTACCACTACAAATAGAATTTGTAAGTAGGGACGCTCTAGTGTCAGCGCAAGCTAACGGAATCGACGACTTTTGCGTTCTGACGCCCTTATCAGCCCTTATCAGTTGTAACCACTTTCATCACCCACCAACAATGTCCCCGTCCCACCCCACATAACACTTGTAAGTATGGACGCTCTGGTGTCAACGCGAGCTGGGTAACGGAATCGACGACTTTTGCGTTCTGACGCCCTTATCAGCCCTTATCAGTTGTAACCACTTTCCATCACCCACCAACAATGTCCCCGTCCCACCCCACATGACACCTGCGAGTATGGACGCTCTAGTGTCAACGCGAGCTGGTAACGGAATCGACGACTTTTGCGTTCTGACGCCCCTTATCAGCCCTTATCAGTTGTAACCACTTTCCATCACCTACCAACAATGTCCCCGTCCCACCCCACATGACACCTGCGAGTATGGACGCTGTAGTGTCAACGCAAGCTGCGTAACGGAATCGACGACTTTTGCGTTCTGACGCCTTATCAGCCCTTATCAGTTGTAACCACTTTCCATCACCTACCAACAATGTCCCCGTCCCACCCCACATGACACCTGCGAGTATGGACGCTGTAGTGTCAACGCAAGCTGCGTAACGGAATCGACGACTTTTGCGTTCTGACGCCCCTTATCAGCCCTTATCAGTTGTAACCACTTTCCATCACCTACCAACAATGTCCCCGTCCCACCCCACATGACACCTGCGAGTATGGACGCTCTAGTGTCAACGCAAGCTGCGTAACGGAATCGACGACTTTTGCGTTCTGACGCCCCTTATCAGCCCTTATCAGTTGTAACCACTTTCCATCACCTACCAACAATGTCCCCGTCCCACCCCACATGACACCTGCGAGTATGGACGCTCTAGTGTCAACGCAAGCTGCGTAACGGAATCGACGACTTTTGCGTTCTGACGCCCCTTATCAGCCCTTATCAGTTGTAACCACTTTCCATCACCTACCAACAATGTCCCCGTCCCACCCCACATGACACCTGCGAGTATGGACGCTGTAGTGTCAACGCAAGCTGCGTAACGGAATCGACGACTTTTGCGTTCTGACGCCCCTTATCAGCCCTTATCAGTTGTAACCACTTTCCATCACCTACCAACAATGTCCCCGTCCCACCCCACATGACACCTGCGAGTATGGACGCTGTAGTGTCAACGCAAGCTGCGTAACGGAATCGACGACTTTTGCGTTCTGACGCCCCTTATCAGCCCTTATCAGTTGCTATCGCTTCCATTCATGTACCACCATTGTCCCGGGACCACCCACATAACACTTGTAAGTATAGACGCTCTAGTACCAATATGAACGACAAAACGAAATTGGCGATGCTCGCTTTCTAGCCCCTCTTATCAGCTATTATCAGTCGTTATCAGTTCCTATCACGTACCACTTGAGTCCCCATCCCACCCCCTATAACATATGTAAGAACCATGGCGCTATCGTTGCTGTGACCCGAGCTACGAATTTCGTGACAAACACACACACACACACACAGACCTACACACACACAGACATACTTAGCGAATTATATATAGTAGGATTATTCTGATTTCACACTTCTACTCCATCCTATTCCTATCGATCGATTTGTCTCTACTCTCCGAAATCGCGCGCTTTAACCCGATTCTTTCATTGCGTCGCCTGATACGTAGCCGGCCAAAGGCCAACTTCTTTCCATGCCTCGCCTTTGGCTCCGCCCGAATTACCTTCGATGTCCATAGCGTGTAGTTTTTGGACGTTTGTTTCTCTTACGAAAACCGCGATCTTCCTCTATCTTCTTCTTCTTATTCTTTAGCGTTTGTCCCACCCTGTGGCGGGGTCCGCTTTCCTGGTATTACGACGCCACTTTTCCCGATTATGTGCCTGATCGGGGTGAAGGCCAACTAATTTCAAATCCTCATGCAACGTATCAAGCCATCGTTGCTTCGGGCGTCCTCTTGGCCGCTTTCCTGGCACGTTAAAGTCTAGACCGATCTTACGGACACTCTCATCATTAGCGCGAAGGACGTGACCGTACCACCTCAGGCGAGCTTCGCGCATCTTATCAGCGATGGGAGCCACACCGAACCGCTTTCTGATGGTATCGTTGCGAATGCGGTCTAAACGGGTAACCCCGGCAAATGGCAAACCTCGTCAGGCAACGTCAAGGTAACGAAAACCGAATCTTCATGCGTAAAATTTGTGTGCTGTTTCCAGTGATCACAACTGACACAATTCATGTCAAGAAAGAATGCAGGAAATTTCCGCAAAGTATTCCTTTAAATGCTTTGTTTGAAGAGCATTCTTGTGGTAAGATAAACGTTTTTTTATTGCGAAGCATGCACCACAAAGCAATACAAAAGAGCGAGTGAAACACAGATGAAATCGCTAGAGTAATTAGTCGAGGAGAATAGTTCACGACATTTGCAGTACGAGACTCTGAAAAAGAATAAAGTGGACTAGAAATTTTTCGGAAGAAGTTCATGTAAGGCAACTTGCCGAAGC